CCATCCTGTCACATAATTATCATTCTTTTTTTGTGGTGAGAGCACTTAAGAGTCTCTTAGCAAATTTCAGGTATATCATCCAGTACTGTCAACTCTAATCACAGTGTTGTACGTTAGATCCTCAGAACTTATTCATCCTCTAACTGCAAGTTTGTGCTCTTTGACCAACATCTCCTCAGTTCCCCTAACCCCTACCCTCTAGTAACTACCATTGTTCTCTGTTTCTATAAGTTAGCATGTTTTAGATTTCAAATATAAGTGATATATAGTATTTGTCTTTTTCTGTCTTATCTCACTTATTATAATGCCCTCCAGATCCACCCATGTTGCCATAAATAATAGGATTTTCTTCTTTCTCCTGGCTGATTAATACTTTATTATATATACCATATCTTCTTTATCAGTTTATTTATTGAGAGACACTTAGGGTGTTTCCACATCTTGGCTATTGTGAATAATACTGCAATGAACATGGGAGAGCAGACATCTTTTCAATATCCTGTTCTCATGTCCTTTAGGTGTGTGCCCAGAAGTGGGATTGCAGGATCATATGGTAGTTCAATTTTTAGTTTTTTGAGGACTCTCCATATTAATTTCCAAAATGGCTGAACCAATTCACATTCTTACCAACAGTGCAAAAGGGTCCCTTTTTTCTGCATCCTTGCCAACACTTACCTCTTGTCTTTTTGATGATTCCCATTCTAGCAGGTGTGAAGTGTTACGTCATTGCAGTTTTGATTTGCATTTCCCTGATGATTAGTGATGTTGAGCATCTTTTCATATACCCATTGGCCATTGTATGTCTTCTTTGGAAAAATGTTTATTCATTTTCTCTGCCCATTTTCTAATCAGATTTTTAAAAAAATTTTTTTGTTACTGAGTTGTATGCATTCTTTATATATTTTGGGTATTAACCCTTTATCAGGTACATACCTTGGTACTTGCTGGCTTCAGAACTCATCAAACCTGCTACTTGACACATTTTGATGAGAAAAAATGTTTCAGCACTAGGTGCTTGCTCGCCACTCATAGCGCTTGCTAGAATTTGTATGAGTTGCAACACTGCCTCACAAGAGAAAATACTTCGTCAGTCATTGGTTGCTCACCACTCATTGGAAGGAATTAACGATGAGCACTGAGGTACCACTGAATGTAGTTTGCGAACATTTTCTCCCATCCTTTAGATTGCCTCCTCATTTCGTTGTTTCTTTTGCTATGCAGAAGATTTTTAGTTTGATTCAGTCTTTTCTTGTTTGTGCTTTCATTGTCATACCCAAAACATCATTGCCAATAGCCAAGTCAAAGACCTTTATCTCTATGTTTTCTACAGAAATTTTATGGCTTCAGGCCTTACACTTAAGTCATTAATCCATTTTGAGTGGTGCAAGTTAGGGATACAATTTCACTTTTCTGTGTGTTGTTATCCAATTTTTCCAGCACCATTTTTTGAAGAGACCTCTTTCCCCATTGGGCATTCTTGGCTTTCTTGTCAAATACTAGTTGATGATGTATGGGACTGGCATGGGGCGGGGGAGGATATTTTTTGATGCTGTTGTGAATAGGATTGTTTTCTTTGTTTCTTTTTCTGATATTTCATTGTTAATATATAGAAACAGTTGATTTCTGTATGCTGATTTTGTATTCTGCAACTTTACTAAATTTGTTGATTAGTTCTAACAGTTTTGGGGTTGAGTCTTTAGGGTTTTTTGTATATGATTATAAGATCTGCAAATAAAAACAGGCTTATTTACTTTTTTCCTTTTATTTCTTTATCTTGCCTGATTGTTCTAGCTAGGACTTCTAGTCCTGTGTTGAATGAGAGTGGGCACCTTTTGTCTTGTTTCTGATCTTAGAAAAAATGCTTTCAACCTTTCACTGTTGAGTGTGATGTGGCCTGTAGGTTCATTGTATATGGTCTTTATTATGTTGAGGTATGTCCCTTCTGTGCCCAGTTTGTTGGGGGGTTTTATCATGAAAGGATATTGTGTTTTCTCAAATGCTTTTTCTGTATCTATTGAGATGACCATATGATTTTTATCTTTCATTTTATTAACGTGCTACATCACATTAATTGATTTGTATATGTTGAACATCCCAGGGATAAATCCCACTTGCTCACACTGTATGATCCTTTTAATGTGCTGTTGAATCTGGTTTGCTAATACTTGGTTGAGAATTTTTACCTCTATATTTATCAGAGATATTGGTCTGTAATTTTCTCTTTTTGTAGTGTCCTTATCTGGTTTGGTATGAGGATATGTGGGTTTTGTAAAATGAGCTTGGAAGTGGTCCCCCTCTTCAGTTTTTGGGAAGAGTTTGAAAAGGATTGACATTAATTCTTTAAATGTTAGTAGAATTTACTAGTAAAACCATCTGGTCCTGGGCTATTCTTTTTTGGGAGGTTTTTGATTACTGATTCAACTACCTTACTTATTGTTGGTCTGTTCATATTTTTTATTTCTTTCGGGTTCAGTGTTGGTATATTGTATATTTCTAGGAATTTATCCACTTTTTAAATATAACATGGCAGTGGGACGTGTTGGTTACTTGGTAGAGAGAGAGGATGAATTATCACCAACTGGGAATTCTGAGATCATCTGCCAAATTACTTGAAAAAGTAATCCCTATTGTCTTTGATGTTCCCAGATCCCAAATTAGCATGAATGAATTTTACTTTGTTATTGACATGTATGTGTACATATGTATGTTTCAGTGTAAAAATGACAGCCTTATTACAGAAAATTTAGAAAAGAAACAAACAAAAATTGTACATAACATCATCTCTTACCTAATCACTGTTATCTTTTAATTTCCTTTGAATTTTCTCCAAGAGCTTTTTTAAAACTTAATTAATAATCATATATTATAATTTTGTTATTAGCATTTTTCATTTTACTAAATTGTTTTTTTAAGCTTCATAATATTCCATTGAGTATGCTATTTTTGATACTTTCTATTGTTGGATATAGAGGATTTCTACCAGCTTCTTAATATTATAATGATGGTGTATTCACAGCCTCATGCACATAGAATTATTTATCTTTTAGATTATTTTTTAGAGCACATTACCACATTTTCATTGCTCTTGCTACATATTATCAATGTTTTTCCAAAAGGTGGTACTAGATTAATAAGGTCACTAGCAACATGTGAAGGACCAATTATGCTACATCCTCAAATATTATGTTTAAAATAATTTTACTAGTTTAAGTCCAACAGCCTCATTATTTATTCCTTCAGTTGCATCAGAGATTGGATTTTTCTTCCTGTGTATTCTCAAGGTGTACTTCTTTCATGAAGTGTCCGTCCTTTACATACTAAATACTAAAGTCTTTGCAATTAAAGCCTTGGGAAACTAACTTTTAAAAATGTCTACACACGTATTTTATATTGAAAAATTAAAATTGTATAGGAGAAAATAAAATTGTTCATGTTGCTAACACATAGAAATACCTACTTTTTGTATTTTAAGCTTATCCTTCTGATTTCTAAAAAAAAGTGTATCCAGTTTTGTAAAATAGTTAAATATACCATTACACATTTTGTTTTGTTTTCCTTTTTATTGAATTTATTGGGGTGACATTGGTTAATAAAATTATATAGGTTTCAGGAGTACGTTCTATAACACATCATCTGTCTATTGTACTGTGTGTTCACCACCCCCAGCCACGTCCCCTCCCATCACCACTTACCCCTGTGCTCTCTTCTCCCTCCCCACCCCCCTTTCCCTCTGGTAATCACCATGCTATTGTCTGTGTCTATGAGTTTTTTTTTCTTTTGCTTAATCCCTTCACCTTCTTCACCCAGCCCTACAACCTCCCTCCCCTCTGACAGCTGTCAGTCTATTCTCTATCTATGTCTGTTTCTATTTTGTTTGTTAATTTATTTTGTTCATTAGATTCCATATATAAGTGAAATCACATGGTACTTGTCTTTCTCTGACTGGCTTATTTCCCTTGGCATAATGCTCACCAGGTCTATTCATGCTATCACAAAGCATATGACCCAGTGATTCCACTTCTGGGAATATATCTAAAGAAACCAGAACGCTAATTCCAAAGAATGTATGTACTCCTGTGTTCATTGTGGCATTATTTACCATAGCCAAAATTTGGAAGCAGCTCAAGTGTCCATCACTAGATGAGTGGATAAAAAAGTTGTGGTACATTTATACAATGGAATACTACTTGACCATAAAAAAGAAGGAAGTCTTACACCACCACACTTTAACCTACTTTTTCTAATTCCACATTCTAATATCTTTATATAAAAATTTTTATATTTTTTTCTGGTAATCCATGCCCTTTTCTAAGTATTTGAAAAATTTAGAAAACTATAAATAAGAAAAATTTCCCATTATTTTACTGCCCAGACATAATGGCTATCAGTTTATTGCAATTCCTTTCAATTTTTAATGAATCTATATTTTTCCTCAAAATTACTAACATGCTACCTATATATTTATGAGGTTTACTGAATATTCATTATATTATTATACCTATGAAATGGTCTTTTATGATTGTCCCACATCGTTCCATAATTTATTTTTAAATTGTTATGGTTTTAGATGTTTGTTTTTAATATTCATTATTTTTAATGTTTTCAAAAAGATCTTTTTATGAAAGTTTTTGTTCTTATTGTTGATTGTTTCCTTATTTTTAATAGTCTTTTATATATTACATATTTGACTCATTATCTGTTGCCAGCTTGCTTTTCAGAAAGGTAATATACATAGTTTTTACTTTCACCAGTTTTGTTCACATCATCACTCTTGAGCAGCATTGACCATTATCTTTTAATTATTTGCTAATATGGTAGTGGAGAAATGGCACCTCATTATTTTGATACATTTCTCAAATGCAAATTCATTAATAGAATATTAGAATCCCACAAGAACATGTTTTAACAAAAGGCAATGGGCTTTTTGTAATTGTATGTGTGTGTAAACCCAAACCCTGGAGTCCTGTGCCTAAACTGGAACTATTTTTTTTTTCTAATAGGTCTTGGTATCTTGATGGGAAAACATTACTAATAGTCATTTGTGTTGTCATTGTGTTCCCTCTTGCACTTCTCCCTAAAATAGGTAAGTCTTTAGAAAAGAGAACATTATTTCTTTAAAAGAAAGAAAATAGTATTAAGGGGCTTTGAAAATTTACAGGACCACATTTTTAGCAGAAGGATGGTGATGGTTCATAATTTTGAACTTGACTTATTTTAGGTTGTTCAGCCTTCAGCCCTGTCTAGTTAACCTATTGGTTTGCAGTAATATTTTGTCTGCCCCACTAAAATAAAATCTTTACAGCGGAACATTAAAGAGCAGCCTTTCCTTACAGTGCACCATTAGTGGTAAGCCAGTTCCAATTCTGCCATACAGAGCTACATAAATGATCTGTGACAGATAGTCGGAATGTTGTTATTCCCAGCCCTAAGCCCCAGATACCAAACACTGTAATAGAAAACATGCCTAAGATGTATAGCTTTAGCTGAATGTTAGGATCATTTTCCTTATAAATTGCTTTTTATTTTACTGTTATTTTACAGGCTTTCTTGGCTACACAAGTAGTTTATCATTTTTCTTTATGGTGTTCTTTGCTCTTGTGGTAAGTTTAAAATATAGTGTATAGCTTATCTCCTCACTAAAATTGAACTTGTCTTAATATCTTTTTTTTCCCCTTTAACTCTGTTTTGTTTTGGGGAAGTATCCCATTTTATTTCAATGTGTTATTCAATTTGTTTCACTAAATTATTTTCTTCATTTTACCTATTTTGTAGCGGCTTAGCTAGAACAGCGCTTTTTCAATGTCACTTTGTAGTTAATTAGAAAGGAGAGCACACCAACTCTGTTAAAACCTTAGATGGAGTATAAATTTTTGTGTAGGTTGTGTATCACTTTATTTCTATACAATACCTTGTGTGCATGTATGTTCAGGAGTATTCAAGCATGAGAATCAGGCTGGTTCTAATCTGTAGAATAGTGTGATACTAGTCATCTTAATTTTGAAACTTTCATTAATGAAACCAGAGCTTCTGGGACTTAACTGTTGAGATCTAGTAGGAACTGGGGTGTCTAATCTGACCTGGTCTATTCAGTATAGGTAAGTTCTCAAAGATACTACTTCGAGGAAATATTTTTCTTCACATGTGTAGTATGTTTTTTCCTATCTTTAAAAACAAGCTTGTTTTTATTATAACAGGAGAAATAATAAGATGATAAACTTAATTTACTATTTATAAAACAATTTACCATAAAGGTATAAGAGAATTTGAATTTCTTGTAGCCTTCTAATTCTTCTAAAAATAGATTTTAAAATCTTAAAGATAGTGTCTTTGTGTGAAATTTTGCAAAACATTTTTTCTCTTTGCATAGCAGTTTATTCCATAGTATCTGTCTAACCTTAAGTAGTATTAAACATTTTAAATTTGCCAAAAGATACATATCTAAATGGCTTGATTAAACTTTTAAAATTATAAACTTGATTAAACTCTCCCTTATTAATGAGAAATAAATAAAAGAAAAATGCCATCCAAACAAGCAAGATAATACATCAGTAGTTAAACCATATTATATAGCCAGATTTCCGGATGCCAAAGCAATTTAAGATGTATTTAACTTAGTCTAAAGTGACCTTCTGGGGTACAAGGATAAAACAACTTCAGATTATTTTGATGAAGTGGACATGATACTGGTTTCAGTGTACAGAAACAATTTACTTTAATGAATTCTCTTAAAACCAAAAATACTTAAGTGTTTACGTTCAATCATTTGTTGTATTAATCAACATTGTCTTTTCCCCTCAAATTGTCTGACTTATATCTTACAAGTAAGTGAATTGAACATACACTTTCTTTTAGATTATTTCTTACAATTTCATTGAGATGTAACTGACGTACGACACTATCTAAGTGTAACGTGTACAACATAATGACTCTCGTATATTGTGAAATGATTACCACAATAAACTTAGTTAATGTCCATGAACATACACTTTTTAGGCCCCACAGTGAAGAAAGAAACAACAAACATTTTCATCACAATTTGATTGTTGAGAAGCATCTACATGGTTAGGAGTAGCCTATGTATGCAAATGAACATATGGATATTAAAGAGAACCAGTGTAGATAACAATGAATTTTTTTCCTCACAGGTAATTGGCATTCCAAGCTTTGCATAGGTAGAAGTAGTTCGATTTTTATAGCCAATACTTTGAAGCAGGTGAAATGTATTGATACTATTGTAGGTGAAACTATTGTACATAGTTTTCACAGCATTCATTTCTGTCATTGCAGATACAGGTACTCTTTAATTTGATGCAGGTTTCTACTCTAGCAGTCATATGGAAATCATACCCTTATTCTACATTTATTGTACTGCTTTACAAACCATCTGCTCAGATTTTTGCCTGTGTGCACAATTTATATTTGGTTTACAATGGGATGGCGAAGACACTGTATACTTTTTAAAAATACCCTTTTTAATTGACGTATTTATTTTAAAGTCTCTAAGTATTAGGTGTTTGAATACACAGTGGTTAGGGAAAGGGCACATGTATATATTACCCCAGAATTTTTTAAAAAGATGCCAATTTTTCATTAAGTGTTTTTGTCAGTGTGTGTAAATCTGTATAACATTTAGATTACATTAAAGATCCAGAAAACAATTATTTTCTTAAATTACACTCTATAAAAAAAGCAAATCAAAACCTATACTCACATCTGTTGTCCCACATGTTTATTTTGCATAAAAACTTTTAACATAAAATTTTGCCCCCTCTGAATTATCTAAAATTTTAAAAATAATTTCAGCAGTGGCTTAGAGTGACAGTTAGTCAGATGGATTTTACCTTTTTTGTCCATTTTAGAACACAATTGTATTTCTTTCCAAAAAGTTCTGTCCTTAGTACAGATTAGTATTCTAAGAAATATTTTAAGAAGTAAGAAATCAAAATAGAAAACTGTTTGGATGGACTTGAGTCAGAAGCTTTCCTTCCACTGAGCACTGTGTTAGGCCCAGGAGAGTTTTAGCCTGACACAACTCTTAGAGATCAGCTCGCAGGGACCTTAGTAGGTGAGATAAGATAACTTCATTAGGGAAAAAAAGTAGAAACAGTCTAGGGGACACATAATTAGGTATTGCTTTATTTGCTTCAGAATAAGAAGTGCAAGGGCTGAGAGGAGAGAAGGATCATGGAGAGCTAGAGTAAAGGAGGATGTGGGAGGAAATAAAACTTGGGCTGAGCATTGAAAGATAGGGAAGTCTGGGAGCAGAGTGAAGGAGGGGCATTTTGTGCACATGAAAAGTATTTTTAATACTTAATCATATTTTTCCTTCTGTCTTTCTAACCCTTGGAATTATCTTCTTCTCATGGTCTGTCTTCACCCTGAGCGAGGACGCCTGTTACTCTTGGCGGTTGGGTACTTTCCACTCCTGTTCTGTACTTCTGCTCTATAGGACATCACTTCTACCCACCCCAGTCCACTGTGCAGGCTCGGGGTTGGGATGGATCTCCACAGAGAAATCAGCTATAGTAACTAATTTTATATTAATATAAAATCAGGTTGCTAATGATATTTTCTAATTAATGAAAAAATAATGATTGTATTGCATTTGGAGCATTGTTTTGAAATATTTTTATTTGCAAGCCTCGTGGTCCCAGCTGTGAAAATAAATGAGGTAGCTCCCACACCGCCCTCACCGCAGCACCTGGCACGAAACATGCTCAACAAAGGGTTGTTGCTGCCACCGCTGGCCCTGCGGTGGGAGAAAAAGTGAGGCACACGGAGCTCGGAGCAGGGCTGGGGAGAGGCCGGAAAAGCCCGGCTTCTCTAGCTTCGGCCCCACCCCACCCTCATCAGTTTTGTTTCGTTGTCTTTTTTAAACATATCAAGAAAAAGAGGGTGAGATTATTGTTTTTTTGATTTTTTTTCTTTTCTCTTGGTAAGTTGACCATTTAGTTTTATCACATATCTAAAACTTATCTAGAAATGTTAGAGTAATTTGCCTAGTTTATCCTTATAATTCTCCCCTCCCCCTTGGGAGAGGGTTTTAATTAAGAGTCATTCTTTATTTTATTCATTAACTTAATCCTAAAAATATATGTTTTCCTTAGATTTGTTTTATTACTATATAAAATCTTGGTTGAATGAGTTTAAATCCAAAGCTAGATAAATACCAGATAGGAATAGGCATAGGAACAGTATTTACTTACTGGTCTCCTGCAAAGGACAAATGCTTCCTTTATTCTCCTTGCCCCTTTGTGTGCTGGGTTTGAGCCTGGAGCAAATATTTACAGAGTAATTATGTGCCCTGAACCGAGGGCAACAATGGCCATGTTGACACAACCACAACTATAGGTCTAGGAACAGGATGGCCACAATTAAGAGTGAAGTCCTAAAACATTTGTATTAATTATTTCTGGGAAATGACATCCCTCTGGATTTAACAAAATTTTTTTAAATTTATTTTTAACAGTTGGAGTTTCCTAGCTATATGGTCTTATTCTTAGCCAGTTTTCCCCACATTCACTGAAAGTAATGTAAGTCTTAAGAAGGGAAGGAGGGACAGTTCTTACATGTCAGGGATCTCTGAGCTCGCCCTTTGCAGAAAGTCTCTACTTACTTCTGCCTGTGGCCATTTCCCAAACAGCTGTTAATATTTCTGTACTTGCTACTGTTGTCAGCTCCACTTAACCATATTCTTGTACCATTGTCACTAAAAACATCGTCTTCCCATTTTGAGTTGCACTTTTTTTAAGGCCTCGATGCTGTTGGAGTTTTGAAAGTGGACAGTCTTTAACGGGGGAGGTCCCGCTAACAGACACGCAGCACTCAGCCTCCCGCCCCCACAGTGCCTGCGCCCTGCCTGGGGGAAATCACAGGGCCGGAGACTCTCCCTTTACCTAGTGTGTGACTGGGCATGGTGTTGGGTTAATTGAAATAATGCTGACCTATTTGAAATCAATTTCATGTCATGAATTTTATAAGAAATAATCTGAGTGTTGATTCTACTTATTCTTACAGATAGTAATTAAAAAATGGTCCATTCCTTGTCCTCTGACATTAAATTGTATAGCGCAGTACTTCCAGGTAATAGTTTATATTTTCAGTTTCTTCCTTTGTATTTTAAGCTAAAAAGAAAAAAAATGAGACTAATGTCTTTTTTCCTAATAAGTGGAAAAGTAATGACTATATTGCATTTTGGAGCTTTGTTTTGAAATATTTTTATTTGAAAGCCTAGTAATAATAAATTCATCATGTTTGTTGATGTATTCTGACTTTTAATGACTGTTGGTTTCTCCTTTTCCCCTCAATCCTCTTAAACAGATTTCAAACGCTACAGATGATTGTAAACCAAAGCTCTTTCATTTCTCCAAAGAGGTGTGTAAGTTATTAACAGATACTTTTGGTTGATTTTTCACATTTCAAGTTTTAAGAGATTTGTGTAACAGGGTCTCTTAGGTCTTTGTACCTGTAACTAATTAATTTTCATGAAAGTGCTAAGTATAGGGTTGCCTACCAGAAGAATAATATTATTTAACACAGGGTGGCCTATTATGAAACAGCCACCTTTTTTTTTTTTTTTTTGGCATGCCTTTAAATGGAGCCTGTTTTAAATGGGCAACTGCCTAAAAGAACAGATTTACTAAATGTCTGGTCTGGCCAATAAGGTCCTCTGTGGATACAGACTTCCTGTTGCCCTCTGGACTTGTAAAGCTAAATAGCCAATTATATCAAAAACTCCTCCCTTGTGAGTAGAACCTTGGTCTGTAGCTAAACAGCCTCATCATTGGACCAAAAGCTGAGTGCTGCCAGTACGTCTTCTGGCAGACATTCCAAAGTTGAAATTTATGATGCCTTAAATGGAGGCTAGAAGACCAAGTCCTTCCCCTTCCAAGAGAGCCCTGGGACACGGAAAATGCATGCAAGAGCCCCTGGCATCGACAGAGGAGATAGGAACTGTGATGGGGGTGATTTCTACCATTCTAGAAGAGCTAAACGTCTCCCCTGTTGCTGCAAGTTTCTCCATCCACACTTTTGGATTCTGCTGAAGTGCAGGGTTCCACATACTAGAATCCCCTCCACAAACGTGCAGCTCTGTTAGTGTGACATGTTAGTGCAGTAACTCCTCCGTGCAGAATATTCCTTTTTATCCACAGTTTTTACAAGAGAAATGTCTCTCTGGCCCCATAAGGGAGGTTACCACATCTTTTATATGGTAAAAGCCTCCATGTGCCTTAAAGATCTAGGTAGAGTAATTGACAAGCCAGGAAATTGAGCAATATATGAAAGAGAATTTGTGAATTAAAGTCTCGTTCCCCTAATCCAGCCTCAGGAAACACTACAGCTTTCCTTCCTCCCAGTGTGCTTCAAATGTTTGAGGAGGCATTATGTCCCAAGATAGGTCTTCAGTCATCTGGAACTTCTTTTGCTGAAGAGCCTAAAGTTAGTAAGGGGAAAAAAATTATTATTTTTTTTTACAGTAGAGAAAAGAAAGTAAATGATCACCATGCATTTTGTAGAGATGGTGTCTTCATTTAGATGGTAACTTTTGTTTCCTTTGTAACTCTGGCTCTTAAATATTCTAATTTTTACAAAAGTTATATTGGTATGTTCCAGGGGATCGCTAAGTATTTGCAGCCTAGAATAAATCATGTGTGTTCCTATTGAAAAAGAACCTAGGCAAAGATGCCAACATGTGATTAATATCACCAGTGTTCCCTTAGATTAAGTTGGTGATATTACCTTGGATTGAGTTGGTGAAAAAAAAGCAGGTTCAAAAGCATTAGCGATTATTTCTGGTTCGAGTAGTAAGATGTATTTAAGTTTCATAATGCATACATTAGGAAAGATTGAGATTTATAAAAAGATTATTTCTAAAATGTTATTTTGAATCTTACCTAAATATTATTTATCACACCTAAATTATTTTTCTCTTACCCAAATAATGTGCAAGTGATTATAGTAAAAGTAACATGGTACAGAAGCCAGCCAAGAAATGTCTGGCTAATATAGTCAATCCTTCTATCAAGGAAAAGATATGCTGGTGACCATAATTGTGTCTCTCTTAAAACAGAACAAAACAAAATTATTTTATAGAGAATATATATGAAAAATGAAGTAAAGTTTAAACAAATCGATTGGGTTTTTTTTTTTTTTTTTTGAAGAACTGAGCTTATTGTCAAATGAAGTAGTGGTTTCAACAGAGTAGCCTTTAATAATCTTGTCTTTAAAAATTGTTTTTCAGAGTGTTTATGCTGTACCAACCATGGCTTTTTCATTTCTCTGCCATACCTCGATATTGCCCATATACTGCGAACTTCAAAGGTACCGTAGAATCCTGGAATATTTGCAATGTGTTAAGTACGTCTTCTTACTTCTAGAAATTTCAAATTGCATGACATGCTTCCCCTTTATGAATTCTTCCCTCCCATCACTGGATTCTAAGTGTTAGTTTAAAACAGAAAGAAACAACTGAGAGTTCTGTCCAAATTGAAAATGTTTCCTGAAAACATAATCCTTGTGCAATAATTTCAAATCAGAGATTGTAGTGTATAATTATTAATGGACCAGGTCTTGAATGATTAAAGAATTCTTTGGACTAGCTTGGGAGATATTTATTTCTATAGATATAAATCAGATCACTGACTCTACTGTTGCCATTTTTTCTTTTAGCCCTTCAAAGAAAAGAATGCAGAATGTAGCCAATACAGCAATTGCTTTAAGTTTTCTCATTTATTTTATATCGGCACTCTTTGGGTACCTCACTTTTTATAGTAAGTATATTATTTAATTACAGGTGTCAAAATAAATTGTTCTGTAGTTGATCTCACACTTGGACATGGACACACTTTGTTTCTGCCTTTCACTGGTTAAATTGTTCAGGCTGCCAGAGTTCACTACAATACTCTGAGTTCAATACAATACTCTGGTTACTCTACGGGCCTTAAAGAATTTCCTTTCTCTTATAAAGGTAGACCAAGCTCAAGATTAATAACCTCGAGATTAATAACCTTTTATGAAAATTTTCTTAAACACCTGAATAAAACCTCAGGCTTAGGGACATTGATGTCTTTATACAAGAAAAAAACGTGCAATAATGATTTTATTTTTAAAAAATATTTTAGAATAAATCTTCTTTTCAATATATTAGACTCTAGTTCAGCAGCTTGGGAGAGTCTTAAAGGCAGAACAAGTTGAAAAGGAGAGGTTTTTAACTGAGCTACAGCTGTAGGCTGATGTGCACATCAGAGACCTCTGCCTTCAGACCCTGTTTGCACAAGGCAACAATGTGCATTTTTTTAAATTTATAACAAGAAAGTAAATATTTGTATATCTTTTTGAAAAATTGTCTGCTTGATATATGCTATTTTTTTTTTCTCCTAAGAACCTCAAAGAAAGGTAAAACTTAAAAGTCTAGAACAAGATAAAATAAACTGTAAGCTCTCGTTTAATCTGTGAACATATTGTTTATTTGGCCAACAAACACATTGTAACAAGTCACCCTCAATTTGTCAAACTCTCCATTACACTTTTCAGTTTATGAATGCTTTTATAACAACTCTCCAATTAAATGGCTGTTACTGCTTTGGGGGTAGGTAGCTGTTACGGCCCTGATTTTACAGTTGATAACCTCGTGCACCTCAGGTCTTAGCCAGCCCTGATAACTTGTACTGGGGCTTTGCTTACCTCTCAGAGATTGTCCACATCTGACAGGTCTTTGGACAACAGCTACTTGCATAGCTACCTTTCCTAAGAGTCTAGATTTTGAAATCCAGCAAACATGGTTTAAATAGCGACTCTGCTCTAACTTGAACAGGATACTTCACCTTATAGTATTTTCATCTCCTAATCTGTAACCCAGAGGTAATTGCATAGAGTTGTATCAAGGAGGTAATGAGTTAGATCTAAAATGCCTGTTACAGTATCTGACAGATAGGAGTCTTCCAAAAAGGAAAGCTACTGCTGATGGTGTGTTATTATTATTATCATTACTACTGTAATTATTGTATAATTGCAGGTCCGTTTTTTTGTACTGTACTTCATATTATCTTTAATAAAATTTAATTTAAATATGGTAACTATTCAGTATATGTTGTATTATCTTGGCGTTTTCAGCGTGTGAGAAAATTGTAATTGCTCTATGCACTCCTTTTTTTGTTATCTCTATGTATTTTCAACAGTTGCAAACCTCATTCATTAATCTAAATCTGTTCTTGCATTTTTATACTGATGTAAGATAAGAGTGGTAGAGGCCTGTGCACACCATCAGGAAAAGCACTGTTTCAACATGAACATGGTACCCTGCTGGCTACACTGCTAAGAAAGTTAAAAACAGATTGTTAAGCTTTTTGATCATTGTTAATGAAACAAAATTCTTGAAATACATAAGCTCTATTTTTGATTGTTGCACTGGTTAGTATTTGAATACACTTGAGCTCAGTAAGACTTTTTCGTATCAGAGCAGAAGGCTGTCCGTTGGGATTCAGCTAAAATTTAGTCTAGCAGAGTAGCTGTATATTTTTTCTAAATTAAAATTGTCACGTAGCACAAATATTATTTTATTTAGGGATCTTCAATATTGGAAAAATACCCCAAAAATGGACCTCCTCCTTCTCCTTATGGAAAAATAGAGCTATCTAGAAGAAACCTCAAAAGGCTGACAAATCTCCAGGATAGCTGAGAAATAAAGACATAAATTACCATGAGACACTTAGGAGCTCTATTAAATCGAAAGGGAAGTGGAGGAAGAATGGACGCTAATACATTTATTGAGCTTACATTTACTATGTAAGTGCAAGGTATAGGTTCGTATAGGTTGAGTAATTTGGCCAGCTAATGAATAATAAGTGGGGATTTGATCTAATTCTGACTCTCTCCAAAAGTCAATGCCTTTATCGCAGTGCTTATTCCTCAGGAATTTTGTTATAGAACCCAAATTTCCTTCATTCCAATTTTTTGTCAAATTGGGCTTTTGGAAAACCTGGCTCTCTTAAGATCGATCACTCTAACTATCTGTATCTTTGTCCATCTATTTATCTCAGTCTGTATTGTTTATCTATCTGTCCATCCATGTACTGATACTTGAACACAGAGGCTATACATTTTCATTATAGAAATGTAATGTTTACCACACAGGGATTTTCCTGATTATCAAGTATATGTTGTCTCTGACTTAATCCTTCTCTGTCAATGCAGATTCTTCAGAGTATCCACATTTTATATAATGGAGAAATACACATGTAAGAAAAATCCCATGGTAGGTAGGTGCATAGGTGGGTATATAGTTAGGTGATGAAAGAAGGAAAAGGAAGGAAGGAAGGAAGGAAGGAAGGAAGGAAGGAAGGAAGGAAGGAAGGAAGGAAGGAAGGAAGGAAAGAAGGGTCAGTCATTCTTCAAAGACAGAAGATTCAGATACTGATTTGCTCTTCAGTGTTTTGTTTTGAGGCTCTTAATAGTAACCAGGGAAAATATTTTATGGTTTATGTCTATCTGGACAGCAGTAACTCTCAGTTTTATGGAAATAAATTGCTAATTGAGCCAGAGACCTTAATCAAAAGGGCTCATCACAAGACTTCAACTCAATGTATAGATGAACTAAAGCCCAAAGAGGTGAGGTGACCTGTCACACAATTAGGGGCAAGTCTCCTGAATACTGGTCCACTGGTCTTTCCACTGCGCTGTGGTCATCTTTATAGACTTCATACCCAGTTTGACAGGGCGTATTAAACAAGATAGCCCCCTGACTCCAGTAGCATGTACACCTTGCAGAGATCATCATCAGGTCCTTACGGAGATTTGTCTGAATCCGGAGCAGTGCGTGGGACTCTGTTCCTTACATATGGTAAGGCTCAGCTAAGACCACAGAACTGACTGGCTCAGATGGAAGGTTTTAATTCTGGGAAAATAGAAAGTGGACATGTAATAGATATTTTGAATATGTCATAAATCTAGTTCTTCAGGCGTCTGGAGCTGCTTGGGATTCGTTCATCCAGTGCTCCCAAGGCTTAGTTAATACTTAAATGTTGTCAGATTAAAGAGACCAATAAGTATGTACCTAGCTTACTACTATTGGCTCTGATTACAGATGTTAAAGCATTTTAAGGTGAGGGAAAATAAAGTGTTTCTCTGGTGAGCCAGGCCAATGCCCAAATGTTACATAATAACCAGACCATTAAAAAAGTCTATGAGGTTGTTAAGCATTAAGTGTTAATAGCTCATTTTTATGATTCAGAAAGTGGAAACAAAATAGTTTGCCATATTTCTCCAAAACTCACAAGTATCTCACAGATTTGGGAATGTAATTCAGCTTTAATCTCCTACTTAGTCCGTAGTCCCACACTGTGTAAAGTGTGTCTTTGATAATTTAGACAATTAGTTTCTCTCCCATTTCCATTATCACTAGTCTAGTTGAGGTCCTCATTACCTCCCAGTGATTATGACAGTTGCCTTCTGTTACCCCTCTTTTGGGTCTCTTTTTCTCCCAATCTGTCCTCTTGATTAATTCAGATCATAACACACTATTCTTCATAAGTCACTGCATTTCTGTGGCCCACCAGATTGAGTTCCATTGCTGGGTCTCAAATGCATGTCCAGCTTTGCACTGTCCCCTTCAGCCATTGTGCTCCTTCTGGGATACACATTTTCTCAGATGCATATTCCCTTTGTTACCTTGCAGCTTCTGCTTGTGCTGGTTCTTGCTCCTAGAATCTCCTCCCCCATGTCTTTGAGTGTCAGCACACATATGTGAATTCATTGAATGTTCCCTGTAACTCTGTAGGTCAACATATTATTGTCTCCATTTTACAGACTTAGAAACCAAGAGACTCTGAAAAGTTAAATTGCTAGTAAGTGGTGGTCCTGGAACTCCAGTCTGTGTGGTTCCAACATTCAAGCCCCTCTACCCTCTGCCGCCCACCGTGTTATACTGACTCTCCCCAAGCCTTCCTGGATTTCCTTCTTGCTTATCCCAAAGCCATACAGTTGTCTTCCTCTGTTCAGAATCACCATAGCTATTTGTTTACAAGCTTCTGCTGCAGCTTATATATGTATCTGTGTTTATATACTATTATATATGTTTGTATTCATCTTATCTACCCTTTAAATTTTAATATCCTTGAAAACAGAGGTGTATTTGGCTTTCTTATTTCCTGCAAAACATCTTCCCCAAAACATATATGCTCACATTAGAAAATCACCTATGTTAAGTACAAATTGATCTTCCCTTACAAGGCAGTGATATGCATTGTTCTTGAATACCCCTTGTCTGGCTTGGGGTGCGGAAAACGTTGTGAGAACAGAAGAACCCCTTGGAGCAAGGCATGGTTGGCTTGTGCAAATTCTGTCACTGACTACCACACTGCCTTGCTGAGCAAGCCAGTTCCCTAAAACTTTTATGTAAGATGCATCGATAGATGAGATGTTGATGAAGCAGGTAAAACGTGCACAACGCTCTGAGACTCTAGAAAACCTTGTGGCATTGAGGAAAAGGTATTGGCTTTGGCAACCCCCCCCAAAAAAAAATTGGGTGTACAGCTGTGCCGGCTCTTCCCCTGTGAGTTGTGTGGTATTGGGCCAGTCGGTTGTATTTTTTAGCCTAGCTACCAATCTTATGTTGTTGTCATATGGACCAAATTCAGTACTGCATGTGAAAACACTCTACAAAACAACATAAATGTTCAAAACCTTCAGATTGTGAAAAAGTTCTAAAATACCCATCTGTTCGGAAAGTATCCAGCCATTCTGCTATGAAAAATAGAGACATTTATTGAAGATGATACAAGAAGCATGGTACATAGGACAGTGATGCCTCAGTCCCCTTAAAGAAGGACCCTTGGGACCTCACAGTTCTCCCAGAGTCTCCTCCACTGTTCAAAACACTCTGCAAAATCGTTTGTTGGAATCGCCATCAGCTGCCCTGTTGTATTTTTCTGAATCTCATCAACAGTCTGAAATCTCTTCCCTTTCAAAAGTGATTTTAGTTTTGGGAAAGGCCAGAAGTCATAGGGGCATCAAATTTGGGCTGTAGCTTGTTTGAGTCACCTGGGTGATTTGACATTTCACCAAAAAACTCTGCACAAGACGTGACGCATGAGCGGCTGCATTGTTGTGATGAGACTGCCAATCACCAGTTGCCCACGGCTGCAGCTGTTTTTGTCCTATTGCATCTCTCAACTGATGAAGAACATTGAGGTAGCACTCCTTATTGATTGTTTGGCCTGGAGGGGCATACTTGTGATGGACAACACTTTCCCAATCAAAGATCGCAGTTAACATGGTCTTGACCTTGTTGCAACTTTGCCGCACCTTCTTCAGGTATGGAGAATCAAGCAACTTCCGTTGGGGTGACTGGGCCTTCCTTTCCCAGTCATAGCCATAGCACCATCACTCATCTCCAATTATGACCTTCTTGAGGAAATCTAGTTCATTGGCCATCGTTTCAATCAAGTCATTAGCAACTGCAGCACGATGTTCCTTCTGCTCTGGTAGCAGAAGCCGTGGAATGAATTTTGCCACGACACATTTCTTGCCAAGATCCTGCATCAAAGTCTTGACAAAGTAGTTTTTGGAATCCCCAGATCAGCTTCTAGTTCTTGCACTGTCAGTTGCCAGTCTTTGGTGATTGCAGCCCGTACACATTCAACATTCTCAGGTGTTCTGCTTGTTGCAGGCCTTCCAGAACATAGATCACTTTCAACAGATTCTCAACCATCTTTGAAGTGTTTGTGCCACACTTTTATTTGCACTGCACTCATTGCATCGTCCCCAAAAGCCTTCTGAATCATCTGAATCGTTTCCATGGAGGAATGTTCAAGCTTAAATCAAAATTTGATGCAGATTTGTTGCTCTGTTTGCTCAGTCATTTTGCATGTGATGCCGGCCACACAGTACACATGCTCACTCAATGGCATCTACTGCCCCCACTGACTAGTACAGTGAAGCCATCATTGTTTATGCATGTGTATTCCATTCCACTCTCTTTGGCTGCCAGGTTATATCATGCAAACCATTCTCATTATATTAACAATGCCTGGATTTTTTCCAGACATAATTTAGGTTCTGCCTGTGCTGATTTCTAGTTTCATTAAAAGAAGAGGTTGTGGGTTTTAAGAAGATATTTAACTAATGTCTCTATTTCATGGAGAAAACAGAAAGGCCAGAGATCAACTGGGGACTGGGAATCCAAAACCTGTTCAGATCCCTTTGTGCAAAGGAAAATAATTTTGCTGTTATTGATATCTTAGTAGTTTATAATGTGATCCTTATTGTTATTTTTTTAAATTTACAGACAAAGTGGCGTCTGATACACTCCAAGATTATAGTAAATACTTGCCACATGATGTTGTTGTCAGGACTGTGAAGCTATGCTTACTGTTTGCTGTGCTTTTGACAGTCCCTCTAATCCACTTCCCTGTAAGTAACTCTTAAAGGTTTTGTTGCTTGGTGTAGCAGCTCCCTAATGTGGCAACACTAATTCTTTGCAGACTGGAATGTTTGAATCACATTTAGTCTTGTATATCTTATTCATTTGTCAAGTAATTGATCAAAGACCTCATACTTGCGTATGCCTCATGAAAGCACAAAAATAACAGTGAACCACTAAGCTAATTTGTGCTTTTCGAGTTTGAGTTTAGATTTACGCTTTCCCACAGCATTGTTTCCAATTTAGAGACTATAGTTCTTCTAAGGTTTTTGGGGTTTTCCCCCTTTAATTCTGTATTCTGTTTTCAAAAGAATGTGCATGAAGGAGAAAAAGTCAAGTCGGCAAAAATAAGCTCCTTCTGGTTTATTGTAAATTTATTTTCACATAGACATTCTAGTTTACTCTTAGCCAAACTATTTTATTTGCTCTAGAATTTTAATACAAGGGGCAGAACAGATTTTCATTCTGCATTTAGTTGCTGTACGTAAGAATCTTAAGAATTTCTGAGGAAATGGAAACAAAGGCTTTGGGTATAAATGCTGCTGCAGGGATGTCTTGAATTCCTAAGCAGTGCGCTCCTTAAGAACTGGGCCGTGGGGGTGGTTTGCCCCTCCCGGTGCACACGGCAGGGCTGGCCTCGGCAGGGGCTGCGGAAACAGTCGTGGGATGTGGCCTCCCGCCGTCCCCCTGAGCAGTGGGAAGTGTCATGAACTAGTTTTCATATTCACATGCTGCGAGACAGATAGTATAAAATAAAATAGTAAATGGTGTTTCTTTCCCATGGCATGATTTCTTTTCTCATTTCGAACGTTTTGTTCTTCTCTCGAATTTAATGAAAATGATTCTCTGAGATTTCATCACACGGCATTATTGTTGATAATTTTAAAAGTTAGGCAACTTAAAGAAATTGCATATGAAAATGTTTTCAAGAATTAAAGCAAAAATAACGATTATGAAGCTCACACAGAAATATATATTCTTAATTTATGAATAATAAACACTTGAATAGTTTATGTTATGTTTTTGAAATCTAGTTGATTTGGAGGACAAAGGTATTATGGTTACGGTACTGTGCATGTTTCCCTAAGTGTGTTTCCCTGTTTTGGCTTTGACCCTTTTTTTCTGCTTAAATCTGTTTCTCTTTTATGTTGTACAGGCAAGGAAAGCTTTAATGATGATGTTTTTCTCCAATATTTCCTTTTCGTGGATTCACCATTTTTTGATTACTCTAGCACTCAATATTATCATTGTTTTATTTGCAATATATGTTCCTGATATTAGGAATGTATTTGATGTAGTTGGTAAGTTTTCTGTTTCAGAAAATGCACATAATAAGATGGTTATAATTGTCATCCAGACTCACATCTGAACCTGGCAATAATCCTCTCTTTTCCTTCCATTAAAGGTTCCAGTACAGCAACATGTTTGATTTTTGTATTCCCAGGACTATTTTATCTTAAACTTAGCAGAGAGGATTTTCTGTCATGGAAAAAGCTTGGGGTAGGTTGGTTTCTGTTTGTTTCTTTTAAGAATCCTATTTTAAGAAATAATTTGTCATTTTATAATTATTGTATCTACATCAAGAAAGTCATCATGTGTTTCGAGATATAAAGTACATTATTGAAGAGAGTAGAGATTTTTTTAAAAAAATTCTAATTGTTCTTATTTTTTCCCCTTATTTCCACAGGCTTTTGTTTTGCTTATCCTCGGAGTTTTGGTTGGGAATTTTAGGTTAGCACTCCTCATTTTTAACTGGATTAATAATAAGTGAAAGATATGTTTTTCCCATTTCTTATGAAGAATAATTTACCTTCATATGCAAAAAGGTATAATTTGGAAGGCACCTTGGATGAATCCTCTCTATATGGATTAACATTTTTTGTAAACATTAACAGAAAAGTGGAACAAAATGGGAGAAGGTAGGGGAAAGTAGGCCCATAGCAATTTTAATCAAAATAAAAAACAAACTCAAAATGCTCTTCAATGTATTAGGTCTTTTGTTTGATTATCTGTGGGTCTATTGCATTTTTAAATTAATAGACTTTATCTTTTAGGGTAGTTTTAATTTTTGCAGAAAGTGTGGAGTTCCTATATATTTCTTCACCCCCCCAAAACCCATAGTTTCCCATATTTTTAACATCTTGAATGTGTGGTGTATTTATTATATTTGAGTCAATATTGATACATTATTATTAACTAAAGGTAATAGTTTACATTAGGGTTCACTGTTGATGCAAGCACTGGCCATCACTAATCTTTTCACTATCTTCATAAAAACTATGAGCCTTTGCAGCACAGATTATGTAGTATCTAATCTTTCAGACTGGCTTCTTTCACTATTAAGCAATATGCAATTAAGTTTCCTACATGTCTATCCATGGCTTGATAGCTCATTCCCTTTTATCACTGAATAATATATTCCATTGTATGGATATACCACAATTTTTTTTTCCATTCACCTGTTGAAGGACCTCTTGGTTGCTTCCAAATTTTGGCAGTTTTGAATAACACTGCAGGTTTTTGTGTGGACATAGTTTTCAGCTTATTTGAACTAATACCAAAGAGCACAAATGCTGCGTCATATGGTAAGAATATGTTTAGTCCTCTAAGAAACTGCCAGACTGCCTTCTAAAGTGGCGATAACATTTTGCAGTCCCACCAGCAATGAATGAGAGTTCCTGTTGTTCCGCAGTCTCACCGGTATTTGGTGGTGTCAGTATTTTTGTTTTTTGCCATTCTAGTGAGTGTGTAGTTGTATCCCACTGTGCTGTTTTATTTCGCATTGCCCTAATGACATGCTGACCATCTTTTCATATGCTTATTTGCCATCTGTGCGTTTTCTTTGGTGAGGTTCAGGTGTTTTGCCTGTTTTTTATCTTGAGCTGTTTTCTCATTTTTGAGTTATAATCATTCTTTGTATATTTTAGATAGCAGCCCTTTATCAGATATGTTTAATGAAGATTTTCTCTCAGTCTCTTTCTCTTTTCATTCCCCTAACAGTGTCTTTCTGAGGGCAGAAGTTTTTAATGTTATTAACTATGGAGAGTCAATCTTTTGTTTGTTTTTTAAGGAAATCAGTATGTTAAGCTTATATACAAAATTGGATCTTAGCTTGTGGGCTAATCTTGTCAACATCAATCACTAATAACAAAACTGTGGGATTATTCCATTTGGTATTTTGCCCTGACTTCAAATCCTGTCTAAGAAACTTTTGTGATTTTTCTCTGTTGTTCATTATAAGGTAGAGCTGCAATGATTGGCTGTGGATTTGGAAGTTCTCTGAGCTTTCTTGTTTGTCACTAAAACATGTGACTTTCTACTTGGCACAGAGACAAGTATTGATGATTTATATCATATTATGTTTGGAGGTTATATAAATCATTCCAGACTTCCCATTGATGTGGCTTATTTCTGGTTGGAAACCAGAAGCTAGGTCTCTCCCCATGAGTATTATATATAAAGGGTACTTTAGCAGCCTACCAAAGCCTGGGTGTATCCCACCCCTGGCTTTCTACATTACAGTAGAAATGTAATCCCACCCCTGTGCACATGTAAAGCAGGTAATTGCATGCAAAGTGCCAATTTGCATGTATGGAAATCCACACCTTTGCAGGTGCCCCCTTGCTTCCCACTTAGGAAATGAGCTGAAAAATTGACAACTGAGCTCTGCTTTTGAGTCAAGATATGTCTTTGGCAACCTGAGACCAGCACGGTGTAATAGAAAAAGTCCACGTTTGGGGGTTAGAAAGTCTTAGATTCAAATCTCAATGAATTTAGGCAAACTACTTAACCTCTCTAAGCCTCCACTTTCACATAGGTATTAGATGGAGTTAATACCAATTATACAGGGTTGTGTTGAAAGGATTAAGTGACCTTGTATAAATTAGGTACAGTCTGAAACAGGTTCTCTTCATAGATTAGATATTTATCCCCTTTCTCCCATCCCTTTATCGGGAGCAGTAAAGTGAATTTGCTTTCAGTCAGGGACATGGAATTTCATCTTCCATCTTGCACAGCTAATATGTTTAGAATCCTTCTCTTGCCTTCACTCACAGGGGAACTGGCCCCATGTGCACTCTTTTTAGTGCTTTCCCACAGCGCTGCCCCAACTGCACCCTCCTGCTAATGCCTTCCAGAGACTGGGCACTTAGCACGGTGCCAGGGGCACAGCCGGGCACGGCCGCCCCTGGGGCCTCAGGTCCGCCAGAGTCCATCAGCCTGGTGAGCTCATTCTCATACCCTCTTTATCTGTTTATGAAATTATAGATCCAAATACGGATAGGTGTTCAGCTGCTTTAAAAAATCTAACTCCAGTAATACCAAAATAACCTAAATCTGCAACAGATGCAAGGATGTCCCCTGGGGCAAATGTTTAGTGTGATGACAGCTGGGCATCAATTAATACATTTGTCACCAGCTTATGGGATAGGAGCATGGGAGGTTTGGCAAAGGGACCAGTAACCTATCCAACACTCTGCACAAAACTTAGTTAATATCAAGAGAAATTATTTGTGGAGGTGTTTATTTTTATTTTACTTTAATATTCTGCCTTATCTAGTTGTCTGTTTGGAGTCACAACTTTTTCTCTGAGTTTGGAAGAATCTAGTAAGATGGCTGGTAAGAACAGCGCCCCTTCACCAGGATTACCAAAAAAGCCTTGTTCAAGTACTCCTCGGCATTTTTCCTGGGAAATATAGGCCTTCTCATTATGGGCTTAATGTTCATAATTTATTAGGTAATAACTATTTAAAATAAAACTAAGTTAAGCACAAAATACATACTTTTCCAACACTTGGAGACTTGTTTGCTAAATTAAAAGACGAAGTGCTGAGAATATAAATTACTTTCGTATGTTGAGGGTGAATGTTTAAATTGTACTTTTTTTAACAGAATGTTTACTCATGAGCTTAGCATTTAAATGGTTAAAACAAGCCTTTGAAGTTAACACTCCATTAAGATGAATGGGGGTAATTCACACCTCTGCTGGTGCTGTATTATTTCAGTCTGGCTGCGGAGAAAACAAGACAGCAGTGGGTTGATTTACTGTGTGAAGGCCCTTTAAACACCCAAGGTCTGGAAATCTTTGTTGTTGTTGGTTTTTTTTTTTTCTTTCTTTTTTACATAGAAGCAAAACCTGAAATTCAGCACAACCTGGGTATAGAATTGAAGTCTTGAAAGTACCATAGATTCTCTATTTGACACTTCCTAACTGGCTTCATTTGTTCCTGTACTCTAGTGTTTCTTCCTACCATGGCACTTTTAAATTAAAGTTTAGTAATTCACTGATGGAAAAGCGGAAACAAACCATCCTTTTCTAGGTAAACTTTACCCATGCCTTTAAATGGGTTATTGCCTTCTAAAAACATTATCATCCTAGGAAACTCGTGTTCTGTATTTGCCTAACATATAAAGCATCCACCTTTAACAACTACTTTCTTCCTCTTTTAGAGGGTTGGGTGGGGTGAAGTGAGCAGAGATCAGTTGGGAAAGATGCTGTTCTTTCTCAGTGTGTCCTTTGCAGTTGTACTATTTTATATTTGAATATGGTTAAATGAGCATTATATGAGATGTTAATGAACTTGGAAGATCTCTTTTTCAGGTCAACAGATTTTTCCTCCTCTCCATTCTCTGCGCTGTGTATTTGCAGGATCCAGTTACTAGATAATCTGTGGGTAGCTGTGTGTGGAGAGTATTTCCATTTGGGCTGTCTCTCCTGTTGACATCGCCTGAACAGTATACAGAGGTGGAAAGTAGATGCTAGAAACACAGGGACCCAAACACTTAATTTTAACTTGCTTTTCTTCTTGGCATGTCGACAATACTCTGGGGCTGTGTTAGAAGTAACCCTATTGAAAACATAGTTTGTTTCCTGCAAATTACTCTGCCTAAATTTTAGGTGTCATAATTTTTGGTCTTAGAACTTTTCAGAATCTAATGTAGTACTGAGGAATTTGTTTTTCTAATTCAAGCACACAATTTATCCATTTTTTCCCCTACTGTAATCCTTCTATAGTTAAGCCTTTCCATATGAAGTAGGAAAAATAGGAAAACACAATTTTAGTGAAGAATGAGTAAAGATAATGTGGATGTAGTTTCCCCATTGCAGTTAGAGTTCTTTCCCTTTCTCGCCCGTCTTAAACAACCTGATATATGTTTTTACTATCATCATGATCCACTGGCCTAGTGCACCAGGCTGTCAATTAAGGTGAGCAATTATGAAGAGAAGGAAGACTAATCTTGGCTGATGGCCAGGTGGACAGGTGGGAATGAGCGGTTCGTTTACCTGTGGGACAAAGTAAATGGGTGGAGAGGGGAATTGAGTTGCCAGGAAAGAAAAACAAAAACAAAAACAGACAGGTGGATTAAGAGACGTTCTCATATGGGATGCTATAGAGAAAAAAGGCTTACAGGGAAATGTTTTTCACTTGTTTGAATGTGTATGCATTTTAGCTTATGCACAACATGAGATAAAATGTGACTGATGCACAACACAAGCAAAGGGGCTGGCTGATCACTGAGCAAATATTTACTGAGCACATATTAAGTACTGGGAGTTGTCCCAGCCCTAAAGTTGTGAAGTTAAAATAGGCACATTACTTACCTGAAAAAAGCTCAGACACAACCTTTATTTTTCTGACTGAACCTTTTCAGATAGACCTGATAAGTGAAACTGCTTAACTCAGAGGAAAAATTATGTATACATTTTCACACACACACACACACACACACACACACACACACTCTCTCTCTCTCTCTCTCTCTCTCTCTCTCCACCCCCGCCCCTGACCCCCCGTATTTATCTTTTTAAAAAAGATTTTTGAGTCAAACTTACCTTATGTTCAAATCCTAGCTCTCCCTCTTTCTAATTTTGGACAAGGTATTTGAATTCTCTGAATTATCTCAAGCCCTT